CAATATGGTTCATGGGGTCACGAAGAGTCGGACACGACTTAACGACTAAACAACAAAAGTGTAGCCTATTCCGATTGTGGTTCATAAAGCATCTCCAACAATACTACAAACCAAAAGTGAAGAAAACTGCCTTGCTTTATTATGTGTTCAGCAGCAACAGCACATAGTTTTCAAAAGTAGACTGTCTCTGAACATCAAGGCTTTCATAGCCAGTAACCACTGACAGATAAATTCTTACAGTTTAATTGAGGTATTTTAAGATGGAAATAAGTTTCAAGCAAGCCCTCAGCGCTAAACTTTATGAAGAAAAAATATTTCTACCACTTTCCCTTAAGCAACTAAACAAAGAGTTCTCCATAAACCAACAGCTCATGTCTGTCACTGCAAAGTTTGGTTAGCCATAACAGTATAATCCAACAATCTTTTTTGTATTTTGAAAAGTAGGTCAACATAGTCTCAATTTCCAAACCATATTTGAGATTGGCTGTAATAACTGGCCTAACTCAGAACATCATTCTTTTAACTTTAAATTTATTAAACTTGTATGCCACCCAACTTTCAATGATTCTGGCTAAGATGTGTGAGATTTTCTCTTCACCATCAATACAGGTCATACAAGCACTCTCTAATATTTGGGATATATTATGTTGTATTTTACAATGCAATCTTATTCATGATTATCAAGAAGTCAAAATAAGACCAACGGAAGAGCTGCCTACCAGAACAGACCAAAACTGTATTTAATCCCACATTATAACCAGATGACCATGTGGAGCTTTACAAGCACCAACATCCTCTCACTCATGCTAAGGCAGGATACATTTCCAGGAAAATCCTTCAACTTGTGAAGAATTTTACAAGTGATATTTGCAGGAAAGCTCCTAATAAGGAGTAACACTAATTTGAGATGCTTTTAAACATATTTCCAATAGAACTTATATTCTCCTGGTGGAGGCTTTCATAGCTACAAAAAGCAGCACTATAAAAACAGCTATAATAACAAACAGCCCATAATTAAACTTGAGAAAATATCTATAGCTATCTATAGTGTAATAAAATTTCACTTTTCCGGGTTCAGGTAAAAACCATTATATCACAAAACAAGCCAGTCCCTAATACTCCACCCTCCATTAGTTCTACAACCCTAAGACACGCTCAAATTACATAATCCATACTACTATTCAGTGGGTCTTACTCATGAATGAAACAGCTTATCCACGGTCTACAAAGGGGCGATGCTAAATCCATGCCTGAGAGCAAGCCTCGTTAAACGCAATACAAAATTATTTTAAAGTAAACGTGCTGAGACAAGTAGCCCTTATTATCCTTAAGCAAGAGTGATACCCGTGAAGTTCAAGACATCTTATTTTTAAACAGAAATAATATTTTCTCCATTATCTCCCTTCCCCCATTCGCCAGGCTCACCATCCTCCTATCTGCGCTGCCACAGTAACGTCAACTTCCACTTCCGCCTGCCGGACTTCCGCCCGCCTTAAGCCAAGACTTAGTTCAATAGCCAATCAGCATATAGTGCCGAACATCCAATGAGAAGCTTCCATCAAGGCTCTTGAAATTCAATCCTAAAGGGATTTTATCACTATTGTATACTCCGCGGGGGAAGATATTACCCAGAATGCAATAGAGGGCATAACTACGAACTTCTGGTTCCATCTGACCGAGTGAATGATGTGCGCTTGCGCGCAAGAGCTTATTATATACACGTGTAATGTCATTTTATTTTTTTCTGTGCCGAGTTTTTGTGTTTTCTTTTGCCTGTATTCAAGCAGAATGTTTATTTAGCCTCAAATGAAACTGTAACTTCAGTGGTTGTATGTAAATAATAATGTGTATACAAAATATTTTGATGTAATTCTATATATTACAGGATCTATAGTATGTTACATCACATTATAACAATCATATGCACATCAATAGTTTTGACTTTTCACAACCTCCTTTTTCTATGACAAAACAGGAAAATAATTACAGATTTGCTATGATGCCGTTCAATATAAACATTCTAGCACAATAAAACAAATATGGAAAGAATTTAGCAAACGTGATGTATACAGTATTTAAAACTAAAGTTGAGAGAATTTACCCAAAAGGAAGCCATAAGAGCAATGGTGCATTGTGCTGCTTTGGATCAGAAATCTAGCATTTGATTTTGATTGATGTCTTAAAGAACATTTCACTCTACTTAGGTAATCAAAAATCATTTGTCTCTTAACATGGTGCATATAATTCTCATAATTAAAGCTCATTATATTATCCTCCATGAATGGATCAAATCCCCTGTTAAAAGACTGTTTGGCTGTCTATTCAATCTAATGCCATGAGAAGCAGAATGCCAGACTGGAAAAATAGCATGGAAATTTATTTATTAGACTTATATCTCACTTTTCAATCAAGAGCTCAAGACAATGCTCTCTCATTAGTAAGCTTCAATGGCTGAGGATGGACTATGAACCTGGGGCTCCTTGTGACCTTTCCAACACCTTAACCACTACACTATATTGGTTCTTTTCCCCAGGTTCTTAAGCAGTTAACAGGTTTGCAGTCACAGTTTGCCAGAGGAAGCAAAAAGATGGCAAAAAATGAAACAAAAGATCTATGCATTTTTTACTAGATTCGCACATGAAAAGCCACAATGTGATCTGGGTTTACTTTAGGACATTGCATGAACACAGCTACTATGATCCATAGAACATAGTTTATAGTTTAGACTGTTGTAAAAGTCAGCCAACTGTGGTTTATTCATGGAATCATAGAATTGGAAAGGGCAACTGAAGCTAACTCACTGTTCAATGCAGGAATCCAAACAAAAGGATGCTTGGCAGATGGCTGTCCAGCTGCTGCTTGAAAACATTCAGTGAAGACACTTCAGTGACCCACTCTTGGTCTTGGTAATTGATTCTCCTCTCAAATACTTTCTCTGTTAGGAGATTTTTCCTACAGTACCATTTAACCAAGAGCCATGTTGGTGTAATGGTTAAGGCACAAGGCTAGAAGCCAGGAGATTCTAAACCAGTTTTTCAACCTTGGCAATTTTAAGATGTGTGCACTTCAACACCCAGAATTCCCTAGCCAGCATGCTAGATAGGGAATTCTGGGAGTTGAAGTGCATACATTTTGAAGTTGCAAAGGTTGGAAAACATTGCTATAGACCCACCTTAAGCACAAAGCCAGTTGTGGAATTGGGGCCAGTCACTCTTTCCCAGCCCTAGGAAAAAAAACAATGGCAAACTAATTCCAAACATGTTGCCAAGGCCAGTCCCAGCAGTCAACAGGAGTCAAGACTGACTCAAAGGCACACACACAAACCACCCATTCAACTGGAAGGTGCTTTCATGTAAATTTAAGAGCAGTCTTTTTGTGTGTAATGCTGGAGTGCAATCATATCCCATTTCAGTCAACTTTTCAGAAAACTAAAACATGGCTTATTGTGTTGTGTGAGCTGGATCTCAGTGTCTAGTGGGAAATAAGGTACATCATATTGGATGGATGAAGACATTAGAAACAAGTATTTTAATAAAGAAAACTTCTGTAGCTCTGTTTAGAAACTGCTGATTTTTACAACCCTGAGTTATGTTGGATGTTTGCAAGAAGTTGCATTATCCCTGTTACAGTAAGCTATTTCACAAGAAATGTTTCATGAGAAGAACAAAGAATACAATATGACAAATAATCCAGAAGATGCAGTGTGGGAAGAGCCGAGTTCTAGTCCACTTTCACTAGCCTTGGGTGAAAGGGGCCCATTAATTTATCTCAGCATAATTTACCAGGCAGGTTTGTTGTTTTGGGGAAAAATAAGAGGAGGGAGTGTTATGTAGACTGTAGCATCTTGAGCTCCTGAATGAAAGGTCGGAAATACACATCTTACACTTAGAGCAAACACTTGAGAAGATCTTTGCTGCAGGTAAAAGGCACCTGTACAAATTAAACATCCAACAGGTTTTCCTGGAAAAAATAATCAAGCTGGTCAATGGTATCTGGTAATTTTTGCTTCACAACCTTTGTTCATACTGTAATAGTAACAGGAATGCAACCTTTGTTCTGTGCTACGACATTGGCTGGAATCCATTAGTTCAGCTGACTCAGCTGCTTATTTCAAGTACTGTAGCTAAGAGTACAGGAAATTGCGACAAGCTTTGATTTTTCCTAGGTTAGCTGAGTACTAAAGCATACACTTTGTGTGCAAAAGGTCTCCATGATACAGTCTGGTGGGGCTTAGAAAATGTATATCTGAAGCCTTGGAGAGGTGCTGCCACTGCATGATAACAGCACTGAATAATTGGACCAATATTCTAACTTGGTAAGTTACAGACCTAGGCTATAAAAAGACCTCCAAGAACAAAATGCTGTTCATTTGGATTTTTGAAACCTAGATCTGATTATCTTGGGTAAGGCATTTCCACCTGAACTACTTCACAATATTTTGTCAATTATTTTGTAAGAAACGCAGTATATAGTAACAGCAACAATACCATTCTAGAAATAAAAATATTAGACCAAAGTGGGATCAATAGGATTAATGAGGGAGAACTACAATTCCCAGGGGACTTTGGTGTGGAAATCATGGCCATTAATCTGTGGAGCTTAGCACGGACGATATGCTGATGGAGCATAACCTCTTTTCTCTCCTTCTATAATGAAGAAGGAGATTGGGAAAGAAGGTGCTTTGTGACTACAGTATTAAAAAGCAAGGGTAAGCCTGCTGTACCGCTCTAGGCCCGCAAACCTTCCTCCTCTATGGTTTCTCTACCCTGCGCTGTACCTCCGCCTCTTTCTGCTGCGAGTGGGTGGGGCTTGGGTGTGGTCACGCGATCTCCCCCAATGGGCGGGGTCTAGGCCCTGAGTGGGGCGGGATTGCCGGTCACTCCTTCAGTCAGTCGTCTCAAGTTGGTCGGGCAGGAGAGAGTGAAGGAAGGAAAGCCATGGAGAAGACCCGGCGGCCCGTAGTGGTGACTGGTAAGGGCGGAGGGGGAGGACAAGAGGAAGGGGGGCCGTGAGGAGTGGGAGCATTCCAAAGGGAGAGGGAAGAGGAAGGTTTGAGTGTTGAGCTTCGTCTTCCCCCCGCGTTAAGTAACCCCCCAGAATAGTTCCCCCTTTCTTTTGGTCCCAGCGTGAACATTAAGACCTGACATTCCTTTTGCTAGTTAGGGGAGATGTATAATTTAAAATACGCCCCATCGAATAATTTGCTCCTCTTCTCTCAGTAAACTTTCTGTTTTATGCATATAATAGAGTGGGTCGTTTTATTTATTTATTTATTTTAAACTCTCAATCTGGTGTTTTCCACTTGAAGTATGTCTTCTCCCCTTCTCTCCTGAATGTTGCGTTCTCCGGGGTATTGATATTCCGGATTAACTAGATCGAGTAATACAATCTTCTTCAAAACGGTCCTGTTTGATATATCTCCTAATGTACCCAACCCATGACTTGCTTCTCGTGTTTCTCTTAGTGTCTATCTCTCCCGTAAATCTTTTATTCTCTTTTAATTACTAACTCGCCTCTTGTAATAATGCCCCCATAAGCTGTTGCCAACTAGTGGGAAGCTTTTTGTCATCTTTCTTTTTACTTTGGTTATTCATAATTCTTTATCTGTTTTCTACAAAAACTTAAGAGTTTATAGGAAATGAGTGTTTTGGGGTGGATGAGCAGGGAGGCTTCTTAGTAGTGCTTGGTGAAGAGAGGGAAGGAGGAGGTAGAAGGAACCCTCTCTGTAAGATACACATAGATATGTGAGAATCTTTTGGTGAGTTCTTATTGCACAACCTCTGGTGTGAGTTGTTTGGCAGAAGGTTAGAGATTGTTCTGCTGACACAGAAAGTGTGTTGTAGCCACCATTTCAAGGTGGTGCTACTTGTTAGTGATATGGTAAATACTGATTTTTCATTTTTCCTGTTTTAATGGGGGGAAATCCATTTGTCCTCCTGGGAAAATCCCATTAAATGTGGAGCATAGCTGTGTGTGTGGACATTTGTCTGTGGGATCTGCATAGAGGTTTGTGTGAGAGCTTGTTTCTCCCCTTCTACGCCTCCCTGCTGTTCTGTTCCCCCAAAAAAGTCTGATGGCAGCTGGGAAATCTGAAGTCATGCAAGAGGTCCTGAAGTCACATTTCCCTACCCTGCCTGTGTGATTCCCTCTCTCCCTCCAGGTCCTGAGGTCCTAAAGTAGGGTAGCCCCAAAACCACACCCTGGTAACAGTAGAATTGTTTTGAAAGGAACAGCAACTGCTTGAAGCTCCCTCAGCCCTGCAGTGGTTATTTGAAACAGCAAGTTGGGTTGGAGAGGAGGGGCAAAATGAAGTTGCGGGAAGGAGAGGCCCATCTCTGAAAGGCTTGCGGGGCACAAAAGGGGGTTGCTGTTAGTGGTGAGGCGGTACAGTCTTTTGACTGGGGGACGGACGCGGTTCCACCTGCCCTGCCCCATCAGTGGCTGGAGTTGTGGCAGTAGGGAGGCGCCTTTGGGATTTACTGATACGCCCTTAATTGGAGCTAAAGGAGTCCGGTGAACTCTTGGCAGAGGTGCCAGCCAATGATGCCCCCCTGCAGAGGCTGAAATGGGAGCTTTCTGGCAAGCCGCAGTTCATGTTCTGTGGCGTGAAGTGCTCACACACCTGTGGGCTATAGGGTACAAAACAGGCTTTTTAGACCCATTGCGTCCTTATCAAGATAAAATCTTCAAATGGTCTGACTGTCCTGTTGGTGCCTATGTCATTGGCATGAGCTGGTACACAGAAGCATGCCAAGTGCCCTGAATAACATGTGCTTGTACATGTAGCTCCTCTCAGGATCAAGATAATCCCATAAAAATCTGGCGGCTGGGAGCAGCTGCTTTCCTGCTAATTAGCCTTGGCGGCTTCTAGTGAGAGGGTGCCCAGAGGGATTCCAAAATACTCTATTGAGTTCTTATCTGATAGCAACAGCCTTGGTTAAGCAAGAAAGAAGGGAGCACAAAGGAGCCTTCTGCCTGGGGGAGGGCAAGCAGGGAGGAGGAGGAGGAGGCTTCTCTTCATTTCTTGGTGCCTTAGCTATGTAGCTGGCACCTGTAGCATGTCCAGTTCTCTGGAATTACAGACACCTTTTACAATTCTATTTTTAAGAAGAGGAAATATTCTTGGAATGTACCTTTTTAGAGAATTAAAATCTTTCAAGTATCAGAACAGATCTACCTGGTTTGCCCATAATGGGTTATCTCTGGTGAGTACAATCAGGCCCAGGAACTTTGGTGAAAGGTGTTTATCTTTTCCTTCCTGACAACAAAAAATATGGAGAAGTATGCATAGTGGGCATTCTGGCAAAATCATTGCACTTTGGAGAATGTTTTTGTGGGATTGAGATATGTTGATGGATGTGACTAGAACAATGATAAGTTTGACTGGGTTCACATGTTGCACTAAATGGAGTTAGTTTAACCATGATTTAATGAATGAACCACAGTAGGTTTAATTCATACCATATGTTGAGCCATAAACAGTGCTTTACAAAACACAGTGGCTGAGTTCATACAACACACTCAGCCAAAATGATACAAACCACGTTGCAGTATAGTGTGTGCAGCCACATTCCCCTTTACTCTAAATATGTCTTGCTTTTGTTTTGCGATCTTATCCTAGAAATCTCTCTTTTTTACAATTTGGCATCTCTTTGCTTTAAAATTGACACACTCCAGATAAATCACTTCTGGAATTATGCATGCTAGTATCATTGGGATGTGCGGTGAGGCTTAACCCTTAAACATGGAGGATTTACTAGGTTTTTTGCATTTATTTGGAATATAAATAAGTATTTAGAAATAAGGCTTTGCTGCCTTACTTTAACACTTATATTAGACTTGGAAACCCCTGTTCAGCTATGATGGATAAAATGCTGCCGTAGGCAACCAAGAGCCTTTTGTGGTAAAGTTAGGAAAAACTTTTTTAATATTCAGGCATAATGAAGGCATTTATGAGGGTCTGTGCATTATTTCCTTGTAAGCTATTTTTTTCTTGATTCTTCCACCTGCTTCTCTAAGAGCAATGGGGCAACAGTTCAAGCATATCATTGAAAAAAATGTGACATCTCACATGTCTTGAACTTCTTTACCTTTACTCAGGGTAGAACATCTACAAATACTGGTTATGGCTTGCTAGTTAACAGAGTTACTTATTAAAAAGCCAAAGCAGGCCATTCTTCTAACCTTTGTATTTCAGATATATTATTTTGGAAGTCTACTTTTCCCAAGAAGGTGCTTAGCTTGTAAAACCTGATATGGAAGAAAGCATTAGACTTCATACCACATAAATTTGGGGAAGGATTCTGTTTTCTTTGACAGGCTGCTAAATAGCAATTTCTCTGGGAAGCTAGAAATAGTTAATACAAAAGTGCAACCTAGATATAAACTGGGTTTATATGCAATGTTTATTAACCGTTGTTTACTGAATAAGCTGTAATTAGCTGAGACATAAGCCATGTTTGATAAATTATGACAAACCAAGTTATGACTTAGTGCAACGTTTAACCTTGTCACTCTGTTCCTCAGTTTGAAAAGCTTTGAAGCTGAAATAGGCTGACCTCGCATAAATGCTGTCACTGTCTTGGGCTAGATGTTCCACTGGTTGAGAGTGGAGGTGTTTGATTTTATGGGGAGTCCAAAGCAAGAAAGATGGGAAGGCAACAAATGTGAGTGGGAGAATTCACCCATGATACAATGTGTAATATTTTGGAATAAAATCCCATGGAGTTTGGTGTATTTACTTCTGAGTAAACATGCATAGGAGCATGCAGAATGGGTAAATGATCTAGCACAAGGTTTTAAGGCATATATGTGCTTATATGAAAAGTTATGCTAAGGACAATGCAAATCATAATTCATTTCAATTTTATATTGCTCTTCCTCCTGAAGAAGCCTGGAAGTCTACAAAAGCAACAGTAAAAACAAGCAATACTGTATATTTGACTTTAAAGAACCACAAGGTGTTTTTTTTCCAAGGTGATGGACTGTTCAGGTTAGAAGAAAAAACTAATTTGGATCTTTGGGGGAAAAAGTAATAAATATGCAAAAATATATTTCTTTCCATGTCAGATAACTCTGAACCAAGATGTATAAGGAGCTGTGTGAGATCACATCAAGCTATTGATTTATTTGGACCAAATCTGTATGTGCTGTCTAGGTAGCTGTTCACTTTGTTCTCCTTGCTGTGTAAAGTCAGGCATTGACACTTTCTTGTTTGTAGAAATTCTCAAGATAGTTAGAACTATACCTCTTTTCTTAAGTCCCACTGAACAAATATCCATTATTTTCTAAGTAAGCATGCCCAGGATCAGGCTTGTATTTAACTATTGTGTAAGTAACTTTAGGATGGCACAGATCATGTAACTCTGTTTTTTTTAAGTAAACTGATTAATCAGGAAAAGACATCTGCCTATGAAATTAATTGGGCTAATAAATAAGCTTCTGTGTGTGTATGTGAATGCGTATAATCTGAATTCCATCATATTCTTGGAAAATCCCTGTAGCTGGTTCTAACTAACTTGCTATTAACCACATTTTGAACAGTCTAAGAGAGCAAGGGAGAAGAGATCTACTTTTTTTTCAAATTTTTAAAAGGGGTATTTTTAGACAAAGTCATGGGTCAAGGAACCCTATGCATGTCCCATACAGGATTTGCATGAGGGAGAAAAACATGTGGTTTGTCTATTATATTAAGCTGTGATTTGCTTAATTATAATAAAATTCAATTGTGTGTATGAAATTAGCGACCAAGTTCATACAACACAATCCAAAAGCAAATTAACAACCCCATACGTTAGTATAGTATGTCAACTCAAAGAGTGAGAATTTCATGGTGGTGACAAAGATGGGGGAGACTTATGTTCAAATCCTCACAGCCTTGAAGTTCATTAGGTGCCTTTTCTTTTTTAACCTCCTTTAAAGTGTGATTTGGAAGTTGGAAGGGAGAACCCACCCTGATGAGAGAAAGAATGTACATGACCCATGATAATTACTTGCTGTATTTTGATGTTAGCGACCTATAAAAAGGTCAATTTAGACTGCTTATCAATGCATAAAAGCAAAGTGCCATCGTGGTAAAAAGAGATCTTTTTCTATGATTTCAGGGTTCGGTCCATTTGGGGAATATTCTGTCAACGCCAGTTGGATCGCAGTTCAGGTAAAAAACATAAATGTTCAAATGCTTCAGTCATAAATAGCATTACTTTATAATAACTAACAATTTCTCAAAAAAGTCCAAAAGCCATTTAAGCCTGATTCCAAGGCAGTGATCCTTCTGGAAGTTGTTGGGTTTTTTTTTTAAATGTAAAGCCCCTCTTCAGTTGAATTTGATGATTGGTGACTGCATCCATGCAGTTTTAATGGCAGAGTTATGGTAGTGGCCTGTCCTTGCCTCTTCCTGGCCTGTCTTCTGGACTTCATGGTTTAGGGTTTTTCAGGAACTTCTTAGTATGGTCTCCTCTGGAGAGTAATAACTATTTCTAGGCAAAAGAGGATGTTTTCTGTTCTGTTCTGAGTAATGATTATCTGTGTATATGAAGATTCTTATCAGGAGTTAAGATTCTTTCAGTTGCTTAAAATAATCCTAACAAAATTATTAACTAAAATTCATCAGCTAAAACACTTTATAATAAACCAGTGATTCCAAAGAGATAAATCAGCATTCTCTGTTTAGGTCATATTTGTTAGCATACCTTTTCAAAATGCTATCTAGATATCATGTGTGAGTGAGTATAGGGGAGTGTCTCTGCTTAGTTGGTGTTCTATGTCATTTAAAACCCTTGAAATCATTACAAATGGCAAAGAAATAATCACTGTCATCGGTTCAATTGAAAAAAATGTTTTAAATCCAATTTTTGTACACTTTCCGTGTAAGTGTTTACAGTTCCTATCTCAGAGAGGCTAGGAAATTGGGAATGGCTTGCTTTGTGAGATGAGACTGAATGAAGTCCAGGATGAAGAAAATTACTAGGATTGTGCACATTTTGCAAAATAATTTGGAAGTACTCTGGCCCTTGCAAGAGTGCATCATTTTTCTGCTGTTTGTTAAAGCAGCCCAACTTTTTTCAGGTTTCCATGCGAGCATGAAAAAAGTGTTGCTGCGTTAAAGCCAGGCTCCATTAATGAACAGCAAGAGAAGCACCCTATTCAGTAAGTTCCAAAATGCTTCTTCCAAATCATTTTCAAAGAATGCAAAGCACAAAAATTCCTAGCAGACAGCTGCTGTCAACAGTTAGATTTGTAAGGCAGAACAATAAGGTGAACAATCAAGAGTGTCTTCAGCTCTTGTCTTCCCATGAACTGTGGTATAAGATTGGGACTGCTTTTCACAGAGTGAACAAGGTTGTGGAACTCACTGCTGCAGGATGAGGCCGCTGACTTAACAACTCATCAATGTGGGGAGCCTTAACACTTTCATCTGTGAGTGGCTGTCCGCTACAGGAATGCCTGTCCTTGATCCAGGGGTGTCCGTATGGTATGTTAAAAATCAAGACAGCAGCTACAGTGGTGTGATTGAAGCTCCACCCACTTTTTATGTGCAATGTATAAAAAACAGGCAGAGCTTCAATCACACTATTGTGGCCGCTGCCTTGCCTTTTATTACTAAATGGTAAGAGGCAAAAAACAATGACTACCTTATTTTTGGCAGCAGATGGATTAGTCAAGATGGAACAGTGTGGAAACTGGTCCATAAACTAAGTTTATGGAAATTAAACTCAGCCATTAAGTAAGTCTCTGGAAATTAAGCTTAGCTTAGTCTAGGCTTAATGGAATTTCCATAGAAGCATTGGATTGGGACGAGCCATATAGGCCATCAAGCCCAATCTCTTCCTTAATGTAGAAATTCACATTAAAGCATTCTGAATAAATGGCTGTTCAGCTTCTGCTTGAATATATCCAGTGAAGAATATGTCCACCAAGTCCCTGGGTAATTGATTTCATTGTCAGATTGACTTTCTTGTAAGGATTTTTTTTTACTAACATTCAAACAGAATCTGCCTCCCTGTATCTTAAATTCATTATTCTGGGTCGTGCACTCTGGAGTGATAGCAAATGTATTGGCCTTCTGTATGATCTCCTTTCAGGTACCTGAAGAATCCTGTTCAGGGGCAGTTTGCTTGCTTTGGGGGCCATAGCAAGGCAGAAGTATGGTCTTCATTCCCTGCTTTTGGGCTTCCAAGAAGCATCTGCCTTTTAAAAAAAACAAAAACTGTTGATTAGCCTTCCACCACCTTCCATCTCTCCTAAACCTATGTCGTCATCATCAAAGCAGTTTTATGTATGGTTATCCCCCTTAGCTTGTGCTTGGAAGAAACGATGGCGGAATGTTTGCAGAGGCTAAGGAGCAGACAAGATGAATTAATGTTCTTCCTGCAGATCAGTTTAGATGAAACTGATCAACTCCATGGGTGAATATGTGGTTTTCTTTGCCTCTGTTACTCACCTGTGTTGATGCTGAGGGCTCTAAGCAGGTGTGCAGCCACCTTTGCCAGAAAAAGCATCTGTTGGTTGCAGTGAAGTTGATTTGTGCTCTTAATTGTATGGGCGTGTTGTGGGGAAGTGGAGAGGGTGAGGTTCAAAGTTCTGTTTTGGGACTTGGCTACCTTTACTCATCTGGCACAGCCAGCTGTTAACAGTCAGCTAAGAACTTTTCTGGAGGGTTGAAAGTGCCATTGATGCGAAACCAAATTATGTTGTTTTATCGGGGTTACAAGGATCTGCTGAGAAAGCAGCTTCCCCAGGGGTTGCTCTGTGGGAAGGCTGGGTGCATGAGCGTGACTTTGATCAAACAGCAACTTAACAGTTGGGGGGAGGAAGAACACAGTTTTGCCATGATATGTCATAGAAAATTCTGCTTGAGCCGAGTGACCTCATCCTTGCCCTTCTTTTAAAGAACAGTCCGGTGACATCTTTAGAATGCTAATATTTTGTAATATATCTTAATTCTCGGAATCATGAGGGATCTACCTTGAAGGTACCATAGTTATGTGCTCTCTTGATTGTCTCAATCTTGGCATCTAGCCTCTTGGAAATTCATATATAATCTAGAAGGTATCAGTCAATGCCGCCAATCTAAGCCTTGCATGAATTGTTACTGTAGCCTGTTGCTGCTTTACCTTGAAGTTAACCAACTCAAGTTTTCTCTAGTTAGGATTCCATTTCTAGATTTCACGTGCACATGGAAATGTCAGTTCTCCCTCCTTCCCAACACATATTTCTTTCTTGGTGAATTCTGAATGTTTTTCAAATTTGTGACTACATCAAGTTGCCTGTATTCCAACCTTCTCCCTTCTCCATTTTAAAGTTTAAGATATTTTTCCTGAGCCAAAAAAATTGACATCTTGTTTTTCTTTTTCTTTTCTTTCCTGGATGTAAATTGTAAACATGTCCTTTTCTTTCCCAGGCTCAGTGTTCAAAAGGGACATGGTGGGCATTTGTGCTGTGCATTTCCTCCTGAAATTCTCTGCCAGCATGCATGATTATAATTGCAATCCCCCAAATGTGCGTGACCCTGCCATGAAAAGTATGTATGTGTATAGACGTGTGTGTATCCATCAGCCAAAAGATGGGCACCAATTGTCCCAGTGGAGCCAGTTTTCATTTCCTATCTTTCTAGCGTCCTAGATTCTGAGGAGGCATTTATCACTCAATCCAGTTTTTGCAAATATAGCAGTAGGAGCAGGAGTCTGTTCTATAGTCAGAGCGGAGATCTTCCAGGGTTAGCCTTCTGCAAGCAATGCTCTCCATAACAGTTAGGAACGTGTATGCGATGAGCTTCTTCCTTCCTTTTTAGAGTGACAGCTGAGGTTGATACAGCTATTGTGCAATTGTGGAACTAAATGTGGTCCACACTGTAAAGAGTATTTCAGCACAGTTCATTGGGTGACCTAAGAAGTATCTCTTCTCCTGCTTACCCCTGTCTGGTTGCAAGCCCCCTCCCCTTCTGAGTTTGGCGCTCTGGGAATACTCTCCTCAAATGCTTTTAAATTAACCCCCAACTCTAATCAATTGCTGCCAACTAATGGCCAGCCAGATGTCTGGCTTGCAGCTGTCTATGTTTGTGTCTCCTTGTTTTTTTAAAAAGCAGCTAGTTGCGTTTGATATGAACCCACTGACTCCAGGGTGGAGGTGAGCCTCATTTGGGATAATCCTGGCTCCCAGCATGCACTGTGGAAGAGAAGGGTGTCCATTTAATATCACACTTGATGAACTGTTGCCGGACCCAGAGCTTTTGGCACCAAATCAGATGCCTTTTCTATTACTGTACAGCACAAATGTGCGCTAAGTTGATTTTAATTGTGTAAATTAAGTAAATACGTCTTTATTTTTCATATCCATGTGTGTGTTTTCCCCCTGTTTGACTGGCAGTTTTAAACCCTGCACTCTCAGCCGTACTCCTTTTGCAGTGACCAAGGGAGCTAACAGGGATGATTATGATTTCTAAGGAAATACATCTACATGTATTTCCTTAGAAAGTAATTTCTCAGAGTTCAGTGGGGCTTGCTGTCTAGTGAAGTGTATGTAAGATTGTTGCCTTAGTTAATTATAGGGGATTTTTAAAGTGATTTGAGTAGATTTAAAATTTGCCCAAACTTGCATAAGTGTGCTGGTAATATAGTTGTTGTTCTTTGGAACTATTACTTAATTATTTAAGATGACAGATTTTTCCCAGCAGTCAATTTTGTTTTTTTCCTGTTGACTAATCTGGGATGCATGATCAAATAATTTCCTTTTAAAATGATTTTATTGCACGTGCATTTATAACTGTGTATCGCTCTGAAAGTCTTGCTAATAAAGTACAGCATAGGAGCTGACTAAAATAAGTCTTGGACTTTGGAGGATTCTTCCTGGCTTCAAGGGAATCCAAAGGAGTCCCAGATCTGTCTTTTACGCCTTTGTCTGAACTGAAGGTAGGGGTCACACAGTTCTGGTTGCTGCATCTTGAAGGACATTGTAGAGTTAGGGAAGGCACAGAAAATGAACAGTCAAATCAGGCAGTTGATGTGTGGAAGAAGAGGCTAGTGTGTGTGAAGGTTTTCAGTTAAATGAGAATAGGTGTGATAAATGTTTATAAAACCATGATTGGAATAAGAAGATTGGTGGGAGCTCTTCTGATGCTCAGATTTAGAGTAATTCTTGACTATTAAAGACTGTTGG